TCATTGGCTTGGCATCTCTTGTCTTGAATGTTCTCATTATCCTTCCTATCAGTTTCCTCACAGATGTGATAGTGGCATTGTTGTGGTCCTTGAAGGCGAGATCTCCGGACATTACCACACCCAGGTCCATCACATTGCTTTTCCGCTCTGTTATGTGATTTGAGTTTATAGTATACTCAATCCTAGCTATTATTTCCTCCAGTTTTCCATAACGTAGTAGTTGGAATTTGTCCTCATTGAACATCATATTGTTTTCCGTTGCCCATTGGAAAACTTGGTTTATATCTTCTTGGAGATTTGCCGTGTCCTCAGTGGATGATACTCTCATGCAGATCCTAGTATCGTCTGCGAAGGAATTATTATTTTATTAACACATCGGCTGTTTCCCACCAAGGCAGGGTGACCCGTAAAAGAAGAAATACTTTCATCATTCACTCCATCACTGTCTTGCCAAAGGCATGCCTTCTCTAGTTAAAGAACATAAGAACATAAGAAAGGAGGAACACTGCAGCAGGCCTGTTGGCCCATACTAGGCAGGTCCTTTACAATTCATCCCACTAACAAACATTTGACCAACCCAACTATCAATGCCACCCAAGAAACAAGCTCCGATGTGCAAGTCCCACTCAAATCCAACCCCTCCCACTCATGTACTTATCCAACCTAAATTTGAAACTACCCAAAGTCCCAGCCTCAATAACCCAACTAGGTGGAAATAAATGGTATAAAATACCGACACAATGGAAATATAAACACAAATGCAGTATAATGTGATCCTTTATTGACAACGTTACACCCACACAGTGGGCTTTTTCAAGTCACACACGGATCTACCTGGGGTTGGAAGGTACGAGAGTATTTATAGGCATTCTGAACTCATCCCACCAACAAAACATTTGCCCAACCCAATTCTGAAATACTCTCGTACCTTCCAACCCCAGGTAGATCCGTGTGACTTGAAAAAGCCCACTGTGTGGGTGAAACGTTGTCAATAAAGGATCACATGTATGTATGTATAATGTTCGCCAAGACCATAGTCCTGGCACGGGTCCCAATCTTGCGATGACCCGTCTCTGGCTCCCGATGGAGAAAGGTTTCCACAATGATGCGACGCATGCCGCTCAAGCGCCCCTCTGGTCAGTTCAACTGGTGCATCTCATAAGCGGCACCATATGTAACTATGGACACTAGCGAGGAGGAGGATATGTCATTATTACAGGAAACAGCTTGTCTGGTTCGTTGACCCCATGATACACTAGTGTGGCTGCAGTCATCTCTGGGTCCTCTTCGGGAGGGAATATCACCCCTAGTTGCCTGCGGAGTGTCTCAGTTGCTTCGCACTCTAGAAGATAGTGTGTTAGGGGCCGCTGGACAACGTGCTGACAGTACTGGCACATCTCCTCCTCAGCCTTGTCTACCATCATCTTGGCTGTGGGAAAGCCCAAACGAAGCCGATGGATGGCGGTACACTGCGCTCTGGACCAGCTTCTATCATATGGAGGGGGTTCTCCCTGAGTCGCTGCTCGGTACCACTGTTGAGAGGGGTATCACCTAAGACCTCCCCCATAAGTTTCGTTGCTCTGGCAGCCACCAGTTTGGTCTGTCGTAGGCTGATTGGGACAGTAATCCCAACATGTGGATAGTCTGTTGCTGCCTTGGCTGCATCATCTGCCGCCTCATTTCCCCGGATGCCAGCATGGCTGGGGATCCAGTTCAAAGTCGATCTATTACCCTGAACTTCTAAGGCTGTCATTATGCTCAGGATCGATGTGATGAGGTGAACATTATCCTGTGGTTGAGGATGGGAGAGGGCATTGATTGCAGAGGTGGAATCAACATGTATGACAGGTCGGAGTCGATGTCGTAGGGCATGTGACAATGCCTGCTGAATCGCCACCAGCTCAGCTTGAAGGATCGTGCAGTGGTCAGGGAGTCGCCAGCCTTGTGTGTGACCATTGTGGTACAGTCCAGCTGCTGCTCTCTTCCTATCAGGGTCGACAGAACCATCTGTGAAATACACTGCACATGTGCCTCCCTCTGCCAGTGCCATGCTTGTCTCAGCATGATTGCTGAGGGTGTCTCGACTGCAGAGACACTTAGAGATGGGCAGCTGCATGATGAAAACATCGGCTGGATCTGGGCGCCAGGGAGGTGGTGGATGGTACCCAGCAACAGGAAGGTCACAACTCTTCTCACAGAGCAGCTGTACAGGCAGCAGCTTCCGCCCAGCAGCACAAAACGAACGAATCCAGGAGTAGTCCGTGAAGAGTGTGGGATCTTGTGACATGGTTGTTAATATCCGTCTCCTTAGTGGGGTACCTTGCTGCCGGTGCAGAATCGTGGCCACTTTGCAGGCGTTTATGTATCTTACTCTGTCAGCCAAGGAAGGAAGCCGGGCCTCAGATCTGAGACATACTGTGTTGGTCCAGATGGGGGCACCAAGCATAGTTCTTATCGCCTGGTTTTGTACGACCTCCACCCTTTGCCTGCTCTGCGGGAAGAGATGAGCCAAAGCCGGTGCACTGTAGTCAATGAGCGAGCGTATAGCTTGTATATAGTACAAGCGAAGTACATCTTTGCTTGCCCCTGCACGGTGCCTCGTCATGGCTCTCATGGCGTTGAGTCTGAGTAGAGCACGTGACCTGACATACTCGGCCTGTTTCTGAAAGGTCAGCTTTTTATCAATGTAGATTCCCAAGTACAGGTAGGAGCAATTAATTGCTCTTCCATAATGTATTATTTTTGTTACTACTACTGTTCAACGCTTGTTCAACCTTTGGACAAAGACCTACTTCGACTAGTGGATGGTACCACTATGATCCCGCCTCCGTCTGCTTCAAGTCACCTCACTACAGTATATAAGCCACATCTACGGCCCTATGCTGTACATTCTACAAGATTGATGGACTGAACACATCGACTCCAGGCTGAGGGACTGATTACCTCATACTCCTCCTCTCCTTACGCCTTCCTCTTTGTATTGGACTGATGAAGCCACTGTGTGGCGAAACGTTTCCTGAATAAAGATTCCCATATGCTGCATAAGTGTCTCAATCTTCAACTTGTCGGTTTTTCAAACCATTCATCACACACGTTACTACTACTACTACCACTACCACTAGTGAACATCGAAATGTTACCTCACTAGTATTACACCACTCTGAGCCTTTATATACCCTCTGTGTCCATGTATTGTTTGTAATGGCTTGATAAAGCTCCTGGAGAGCGAAATGTTGCCACAATAAATGTCACATTAGTTGCACTTGTGTCCTTTTACTTTACATATTGTCGGTAATTCTACCAACTTTATTACACCTAGTTGGGTTATTGAGGCTAGGACTTTCGGTAGTTTCAAATTTAGGTTGGATAAGTACATGAGTGGGAAGGGTTGGATTTGAGTGGAACTTTCATACCAGAGCTTATTTCTTGGGTAGCATTGAAAATTGGGTTGGGCAAATGTTTTGTTGGTGGGATGAGTTGTAAAGGACCTACCTAGTATGGGCCAACAGGCCTCCTGCAGTGTTCCTCCTTTCTTATGTTCTTAACATGAAGTGGCTAGCGCGACGGGCTGGAGTTTTGAGACTCTATGACCGCGGGTTCAATCCCGGCCGGGGGTATTGTTTATTTCCAATCGTGTCATTACGATTTCTTAAGTCATGAAGAAGGAGCACTGCAGCAGGTCTACTAGCCCATTCGAGGCAGGTCCAAGTCACTTATCGGCCTAAGCTACTGGCCCAAGCTAGTCAGGTCCAAGTCACATCCACCCAAGAAGGAAGGAGCACTGCGCTAGATCCATTAGCACAAGCAAGTCAGGTCCAACTCACACCCACTTATGTATTTATTACAACGTTTTAGCTTCAATGACGCTACTCGGGAGTTTGTTCCATTCATCCACAACTATTGCCAAACCAGTGCTTTCCTACATCTAAATTTTCCAACTTGAAACCGTTGCTGCAAGTCCTGCCTTGGCTAGATATTTCTGGTACGTTATTTGCACGTTATCAACACCCCTTCTTCAGAGTTCAGGCACTGTACTTCCCACCTCCAGGACTCAAGTCCAATTAACCGGTTTCCCTGAATCCCTTCATAAATGTTAGTTTGCTCACACTCCAACAGCACGTCAAGTCATAAAAACCATTCGTCTCCACTCGCTCCTGTCTAACACGTTCACGCACGCTTGCTGAAGTCCAAGCCCTTCTTACACAAAACCTCCTTTACTCCTACGATGAAGCGCTGAATTCACAGGGGTTTATACCGAGGAAGGAAACCATGTTCGATCCAAGAAACGGTAGGACAAGTCCAGTTCCTTGGATGAAGAGCTCACCAGCATCAAGGACCCTCCAATTAGAGGGAGGGGGGAATCAAATCATTTGAAAAAATACAAATATATGATAAATTTGAATGTCAGCGAAGAAGAAATGAGCATTGAGAGGTGACTTGAGAGGTGTGTAAGGCAGCAGTTGTTGAACCACTTGACTCCAGCTGAGGTGTTACCTGCTGTCTTTTTCGTATCACCCTCCTTCCCTCCTATACTCTCCCAGGACTTTGATAGTTCGCTTAATACCCACCCAAGATGTGCTCAGATATGGTGGTAAATACATGTGTAGTAGCGAAGATGTTAGGGTGTTCATCCGTGGCGTAGATATTTAGGGGGTTAAAGGAAGCTGTATGTTTAAAGGGGGTTGGCTTGGAGTGTGTAAAGGGAAACATTTAAGTGGCAAGTGTTGGGTTACACCACCTCACAATCACTCGCTTGTTCCCTACTACAACACCATAGAAAGTGGTCATCCCTTTATCAATTACAGAATACGTAAGTTCGGCTCATCTCTTATTTAGATGCATACTGTAGGCAAAATAAGTACTTATTCAAACTCTGACAAAATTAAATCAATATTAGCGTGCTAAGTAAACTTAAAAATGCGTTACAAGTGAGATAAAGCACTAAATACGACATTTACATGGGGACATAGCTATGCGGAGCGGCGAGCTGCGCAGCATTACTCCCCACCTGTTTTGGTCCAGGTCCCGGATGACAGGTAACAACATGGCGGCGTGGATCTAGCCTGCTACGATCCTTTTTCTCCCATAATTAAGGTAAATTACCGCGTTTCCTCCCACTAGGGTATCCCTGGTGTAGGTGGGCGTGGCAGCCGGCAGTGTAGTTTGCGGTGGCTTGTGTAAATGCTCGATTTCGAGGCGCCGAGCCCTCGAAATGCGCTACAGGTAAAGGAGGTTAACGCGTTTTTCTCGCATTATTTCGTGTCCTCCAGGAGAAATGGTAAACAAAAATGCTTTGGGCAGAGGTTATGGCCTCTCGCGAGGTTCAAGGGTCTCCTGACCATGCCACCAAGAACAGAAGGAAGTTGCGTTAACCTCTGATAGTAGATCTGTGAAAGAGAATAGCAGAGAAAAGAAGGAAAACATGCTAAAGACAGGAGTGAAGAGGGAGTGAATGGGACTTTGGTGGGGAGTAAACATCTCTCCTGTGACTGTAGGTTCAAGGCTGCACTCGTGACATTTACACTGCTAAATGGGAGCATGAGCTTCTACCCCTGACGGTATCCCTGGTGCAAGTAGGTCTTTTTGATATGTTTCTGTTGTGTATCGTGTGGAGGAGTGAGGCAGCATCCTGGCTGCTGGAGGGAGCAGGAGAGACTTAACATGGATCCATATATTACAAAGGTTTATTTAGAGACAGCTGTTCAGTCGCTCAGACTTTATCAGTGCTTCAAAGAGGGCTACATAAGACCTAATTAGATCTGAAATCTGACAAGTGCAGATAACATTCTAAGGCTGAAGAGATTATATACACTGTGTGTCTGTGTCTGTCTCTGTGTGTCTGTCTGTGTGTCTGTGTCTGTCTGTATATCTGTCTGTCTGTGTACTAGTTGTACTCGCCTAGTTGAGCTTGCAGGGGTCGAGTCCAAGCTCCTGGCCCCGCCTCTTCTCTGGTCGCTACTAGGTCACTCCCTGAACCGTGAGCTTTATCATACCTCTGTGTGTTTGTGTGTGTGTGTTTGTGTGTGTGTGTTTGTGCGTGTGTTTGTGTGTGTTTTGTGTGTGGGTGTTTGTGGGTGTGTTTGTGGGTTGTTGTGTTTGTGTGTGTGTTTGTGTGTGTTTGTGTGTGTTGTGTTTTGTGTGTGTTTGTGTGTGTTTGTGTGTGTGTGTTTGTGTGTGTGTGTTTGTGTGTGTGTTTGTGTGTGTGTGTTTGTGTGTGTGTGTTTGTGTGTGTCTGTGTGTCTATGTGTGTCTGTGGTTTGCTTTAATCACTATTTTGGAGATTAAAGTATCCTTGACTGGTGACATACAGCCTAAACAACTCTGTAGTTGATAGGCTTTAAAGTTAGTAAGTTTATTTAGGCACAGGTACACGTAAGTACAATTAATTTTGGGTGTCCCATCGCTTGATTGCTAGGGCGCTCAACTCAAACATTGAGGTCCGTGGTTTAATCCCCGGTATGGGTGGAACCATTAGGATGTGTTCCCTTGAGACAGCTGTTGTCCCTGTTCACCTATTAGTAAAATAGGTACCTGGGTGTTAGTCAACTGGTGTGTGTTGCATCCTGAGGACAAAATTGACCTAATTTGCCCGAAATGCTCTTCATAATCAGGGGTTTTCTCTATTAGTGTGTCACTGTTGTCAGCTAGGCCTGTATACATTGTGCATGTACTTGTAGAAATAAAGATTATTATTATAATACATAGTGTAAATTACATAAGATAACCCCCCCCCAAAAAAAAAAAGTCGAAATAACTCATTTCCATTGGGGTCCTAATAAATCAGTCAAAGACCGAAATCCATATACGTGTAAGCATAGCACCAGATAGCGATTAAATAAATATAGTGATTGATAAATCTGTGAAAAGATCCTGAGGTTTAGTAGGAATCTGAAGAAAGGGAATAATTAATATATGTATTATTCAAAACAGAATTTGTAAGTTTAATTAATCTCCAATCATTAATAACTGAAGTGAAAAATTAGCTGTCGACTCTACCTTGCTACCAAAAACATCTGGATTATGTGGTACAGTTCTGGTTACTAAAAGTCTTGGTAGTCTTAGTCCCAGTCTAAGTTAAGGTAAGAGAGAGAGAATTTTTTTCAGATTTTTTTAACCTCGAAGGGTTATCCACCCAGGATAACCCAAGAAAGTCATTGCATCATCTAGGACTGTCTTGCCTTATTTCCAGTGGGGTTCTTAAACCGTGTCCCTCAGGATGCGACCCGCACCATTCGACTAACACTCGGGTACCTACTTGCTTGCTAGATGAATGGGACAACAGGTGTAAGGAAACACACCCAATGTTTCCATCCTTGCTGGGGATTAAACCATGGACACTCAGTGTATGAATTGAAACCAATGCCTACCAGTTCACAGGACACCCGTCTGAAAGATTATGCATATAGTATGTGTATTTAAGTTTTTGTGTACTTTTGTTTAATGATTTGAAATAAAATTATTATTATTGGCATTATTATTGGTATTATTACCAGTACAGTATTATTATTGCTATTGCTATTATTATTATTGTTAATTCTGAGCATTAGGAATGAGCCTTACGTTGAGCAAGAAATTGTCATTATTTCGAAGGTATAGTACGGCAGTGCTTGATGACATCAAAAGTTTCAGCCCAGATATCTCTTTCCCTTACTTTTGTAGCTTGGTGATAGTGTGCTTGGCTCACAACTGAAAGGATGGGTGTCAAACTCTGAATGAGGTGAAATTTATAATATATCCTCCTAACACTTGTTATTCCTGTTGCCAATCAATTGATAAATATGTGGGATTAAGTGCACTTCTTGTTTGATTCACTGGTGTAATCACAGCCGAAGTCATTTCCATGTGGTGACCTGGTGTGTATTAGTAGATCGTTGTTGGTCAAATCCTGGGGTAGGCCCAAAAAAAAAAAAAAAAAAAAAAAAGCTATATTGCTTGGCTTTCTTGGAGTTTTATGGGCCATTAATCCTTAGGTGTTACTAATTAGCATAAAGACTTCTTCAGAACTAGTGGCCTAAATTAATAATTTTTTTTTGTGTGTGTGTGTGTTTGTTTATTTGTATATGTGTTCTCTTCTTGCAAGTGCTCCTACTACAGCCATTTTATTTTAAGTTATTCAGTTTCTTGTGTCTGTCATTTAATGCTCCTGATGCTGTCTTGCATAACCAATTTTTTAAAACTGTCTTGGTTACTAAATACACATGTGGTTTACAGTACATTTGTATATATATATTGGTAGGTTTAATATCATATAAATTAACATTTATTATGAGCATACTAGTGAAAATAGAGCACAGCCAGCATAACTCTGCTCCACAAAAATAAATAAGTACCGTACAGTGGAACCCCAGATTTCAACTGTAATCTGTTCCAGAAGGTTGGCCTAAATCTGAAAAGGCTGAAAACTGAAGTAATATTTCCCATAAGAATTAATGTAAATACAATTAATTCATTCCAGACACCCAAAAATATTAACAAAAAATACATTTTTGAAGATTAACTATAGTTTTACATACACAAAACAATGAGAACTAAATAAAATGACTAATGAAATGAATAAATGAACATTTAACATCACATTTATTTTTATTGAAGATTCTTGTTGACATACAGAAGACAGGGAGGAGGAGAGAGGGAGGACTGATTGTTTGAAAGGGGTCTCCCCCTCCATAAGGACTTGAGGTATCAAGCCCCTATCCGGGTTACTTCCCTTCTTTGTCTTTTACTGGCACTAGGACCAGCTTGAGAGTCACTGCACCCCTGTCGCACAAAAAAACTGTCCAGAGGTCTGTTTCTGGCGTCTCTAAGATTTTCCTGAAGTGGGACAAGGTTTTGTCACTGAATTCTATCGTGTTTCTCACTTTCTTTACCAAAGGCTGGCACTAGGACCTTTCTTTGGGCCCATGGTGGCTCATTTCACAGTCGTACTCAATAAACAACCACAAAAAACAATGGATTATAACGAAATGTTTGGATGAATGCACAGTGTGTTGCTCACTCACAGAGAGAGACAGCCAGACTGACTCACGCACGCAGCGTGGCGGGCAGACGCGTTCAATACGACTGATTTCCGAGTTGCCGGCCAAAATCCAGGATAGAATTTCAGCCAAAAAAGTGGCCGAGATCCGATTTGGCCGATATTTGCACCAGTCAGTATCTGGGAGTCCACTGTAATTGCATGGTATGAGATGATACCAGAGTAAAAAATGTGTGTTTCATGGCCAAGGTTACCAGCAATTGTATTCGCAGAAAGGATAGGAAGGGTCTCGGGTGGGCAACTTTTAGCCCTTCAGTCATGCATAATTGCAAGGTTTTACTAGTAAAGTTACACCTGTCTTGACACACAGTTGTTTGTCAGAAATTTGTGATTTGTTATTTTCCTCCCCTTAAAAAAAAATAAAGAAACTGTAAAAAGTATACTGCATTTTATGAGGTAACCCCTCTCTGCATGTACTTCTGATCATTGTCACTCATGTTTGGTACTGTACTGCAAGTACAGTACTGTACTTGCAGTACAAAAAAACTGTTAAATTCTTTTGAGATATGTTTAATACGTATACATTAATATTCACATTCAGACACAGTATATTTTAAAAATACATGTACAGTTCTGTATAACACATCCTCTCCTGTGCATATTTGGTCTAACAATTACATTGTATCTTACTCCTTAATTTGCTTGAAATTTTATTTTCTATGAAATGCCTAACATTGTCTCCCCATGTTAGGTTTAATAGTACAGTAACAATATTGTATTAGTTAACCAACAGAGACTGGTTTCATAAGAGGCACCCAAGTATTTGTCGACAGCCATCGTCTCTCTGGCCATCACTGTGCCATTTAACCCTAAAACTGTCCAAACATAAATCTACGTCCACGTGTGGGGGGCTCCGAAAGTAGATCTACGTTTTTTTTTTTTACATGCTTTCAAATGGGGAAAATCAGGGTCGGAGCGCTACGCACATGAACGTAGATCTACATTTGGACAGTTTAAGGGTTAATGTCACCTTCATTCCGTTTGTTGAATATAAAAGTCTGTACCACAATTAGTGCACATAGCATTCATAGTGGACATCACTTATTGTTGTCTTGTGTGATAAAATCTTGATGGACTCAAAGAATGGTGATAAGTTTTGATCAAACTGTATTAATGTTATTCACTTGAAAGTGATGTGCTTCAATGATTGATGATTCTGTACTGACAATTACTCTCTCATTTGCGCAGCAATTGATAGATGGTGCTGCCTGGTTGATCGATTTGGTTGGCTCTTCATTTGAAGAGCTTAACAAAATCAAGTAAATACATAACCTAACCAAACATTGCCATATATTGTGGAAACATGCAAGGAAGCTACACTGGAGGTAAATTTCATGCAACTAGTTTATTCTTTTCTGTTTCGCATTTTATTGAAATCTTTATATTTGAGTCGATGAACTGAAAAGCATGTCTGGGGCAGACGGTGGTCTAAATTTTGAACAGTTAATCCAACTGATAACTTAGTTATTTTGATTATGAGTAGGTATTCATAACTGTTTCATAATTTAACTTTGGGTAAAATTTATGCATGAGGCTGCCACTTTATTACTGGAGTGTGCTGAATGACTTTTACTCATGTTCTTACAGAGACCTATTAAACTTTGTGTGGGAGATTAATTTTTTATGCAGTGTATAAAACAAGTTTTTTTCCCCTGAAACATGTATGTAAATGGTTGTAAATGTATTTGAAATTACATGTGTGGAGCCCTCTAAGTTGGAAAGAGTGCATTGAATGGCAGCATCTGAAGTAGGACCCCTGTATTCTTTTATTACATACCATTTAAATAGGACCCCTGTATTCTAAATTAACCCGTAAACGGTCCAAACGTATATATACGTTTTTACCGCTAGTGCCCCAAACGTATATATACGTTTTATGTGTCCTACATATAACATTGCCACGATAAGCCTGAGTCGCCTAGACATGTGAGAATGGGTGTGAGCACTCACTGTGCACCATATTAAAATACAGTGGACCTCCGGTTTACGATATTATTTCATTCCAGAAGTATGTTCAGGTGCCATTACTGAATGAATTTGTTGCCATAAGGAATATTGTGAATTAGATTAGTCTATTTCAGACCCCCAAACATACACGTACAAACGCACTTACATAAATACACTTACATAATTGGACGCATTGGGAGGTGATCGTAAACCGGGGGTCCACTGTAATTGGGGATGCCTGGGTACCATATGCTCTTTTTTCCTATTAAAAAACAACAATGTTTTTTTTCTCAGAAAAGTTGGGGCAGTATGGCAGTGAATGTATATATACGTTTGGACCGTTTACGGGTTAAATACCATCTGTAATGAGTATATATTCTATAAAATACTTTCTGTACAGTATATAAAAGCAGTTGATTCCATTTGTATTATTTATTGTGCTTCTCTTCATGTAGTATTTGTTAATGAGAAATTGTCAATCATTACATGTTTACTTGTTCATGGTTCTGGGAATCTTTACTGCTGTTACCTAGTCTCTGATCAGGCCACAGGGTTGGTAGCCTGGTCTGGCCAGGCTGTTAGTGCTAATAAGGTGTAGTTTGACATAGATATCACAGCCCTTCTAATCAGGAACTGCCTATAAGAACTTGGAATGTTGTCTTTTGAAGATGAGGTCTATTGGTAATTTCCCTCAGATTTGAATGGTTGGTGCTAAAAAAGCATTTTATCTATGCTTATTGAATTATCCCATATTGTCCTTATTACATCTTAGTTTTTCATTGCAAGGTATTGCAACATGAAAAAAATTTGTGGAAAGTCTTTTGATTTGAAACAGATCTTCATTAAGGTATTAAAATTAATGGTTAGAATTTAATGGATATATCATTAGTGTGTTCCAGTTTTACAGAATATACTTAAAATTCACCTAGTTGTGCAGTTTAATCTGTTCATGTACATTTTTTCCATTAAATAGGATGAAAATTTATGTACAACCTACCATGCCTCCCATTCTAATAAAGACTAATTTTATTGTGCACACCTAGAGCCTGTCATCCGCAACATTTTTCAGGAGTAAATTTTGACTAGTCTTTTCTCGTGCATTCCTGGGAGTATAATTTGAAGGCCTTAGATGTTTAAAATGAAAATAACAATCAAGGAGTGAGAATTTGTGTACAAGGTGTACAAGGATATGTAAACATTGATCTTTTTTTTTATTTTTATTTTTTTTTTTTTACAAAAGTGTGTAACAACAGCATACATATATGCAGCAAAAATCATTAAAACTTATACATTCATAATTTAATTATACCCCTAATTGTAAGTACACATCTCCCTCCACATTCATGAGGGTTAGGGGATCAAGAACCTCATGAATGTTGAAAAATCCCGAATGTTTGGTGCACAAATATATTGTAGAGAAATATAATAATAGCATTTACTTAGCCTAACAATACTGCTTCCTTAACCTATTGAACTATGAACAATCATAAAACACATGAAAACATTGTAAAATATTGTACTATTGTAATATTGTAAAATATTGGTAAAGAAGGTGAGAAAGACTATAGAATTCAAGAAAGAACTTGTAGCAGAGTACCAAAGTGGAGGAGGAAGAGAGAGGGAAGAATGTGCCTTCTTCAGTGATTCTACGATATGTACGATACTAAAGCAGCACAAGTCGATAAAGGCTATAGTGCCAGCCAGTGATAAAATGTAGCATTAACAGTGTAGCAAGTAAGTTAAGCGATTAATCGATAGAGAAAGGATAGCACGAAACTAACTCCTCCATTGTTATTGGAGGTATATAGGGCTACTGAGAACACCCCTGCCTCTGCTGCTACCTTCACCACCACTATGTAAGACTTACTTATTTACACCTACCATCCGACTTACGACCTGCTCGACTTACGACGACTCGACTTATGACCGTGCTTTTTTATGCCGAATTTCTGGGAAATAAACAAGTGTTTGTGTTGTACACAGTGTTTATCCTAAACCTTACAGTATAAAATACAGTACTAACAGCATAAAAAGTGAAGTAAAACATGAAATACCAAAATAAAACAATAAAATAGTCATTACAAAAATGTTATTTTGATATTCATTAGTAAAGTTCAACTTACGACCATTTCAACTCGTGTCCGGTTTCTTGGAACCAAACTCGGTCGTAAGTCGGATGGTAGGTGTATTTATTTATTTATTTATGTCTTTGCAAATAGTACGTTGAGATTATGCATTTATAATAATGGGTTGCAATGCAAAGAGAGCCTCTATTATGTCTAGGCATTATGGGCCAACTTAACATTATTGGCTCACTGACTACTTAACACTAAGAATTATGTCATAGTTGTACAGTAGATTATTGATTATATCATAGTTGTACAGTAGATTATTAATTAAAAGTGAATCTAATTTATATAAGACAAAGGATCTATTCATATATTTAAAAATTTTTTTTTTGTGAAACAATGATTCAATTATATTCCTGTCGACAATGGATAAAAGGTTCAAAAGCAATTGTTGAAATTATGATATGGGAATATGTATTGAGTGTATGAGTACTGAGTATTGAGCATTTAGTCTAGGGTGATTAACCCTCTGAGGGTTTTCGTCGTACTAGTACGTCTTACGCGTAGGGGTTTTTGACGTACTAGTACGCATAAATTCTAGCGGCCTCAAATCTAGTGGGAGAAAGCTGGTAGGCCTTCATATGAAAGAATGGGTCTATGTGGTCAGTGTGCACAGTCTAAAAAAAATCCTGCAGCACACAGTGCATAATGAGAAAAAAAAAACTTTGACCATTTTTTTGGAATAAATCAGCGACTTTGCAGTGTATTTTCGTATGGTATTTATTGTTGTATTCTAGTTTTCTTGGTCTCATTTTTTAGAATGGAAGACAAAATTACAGAAATTGAGATGGGTTTTGGGCTGGTTTTTACAAAGAAAGGTGCTTGAAATTGAGCTCAAAGTAGCAGAATGTTCGATTTTTAACCAAACTTCAAAAAAAAAGTAAAAACAAATCGTGCCCAAACGTGCAATACACGTCAACTGGTGAGTCTAAAAATTCTTTCACAAGTGCACCAATAATATACCATTTTTTACACTAATGCAGTGGGCTGCATAAAAAGTAAAAACTTATATTTTTGTGAGAAAAAAAATTCAAATGGGAAAACAAAAGAATATAAGAGGGACCTTGAGACATGACTAATGACTAGAGGAAATGTTTATTTTGTGCCAGGAATGTCTTTCTTGTTTATTCTGGACCCTATTCGGAAATTGGCATCTTTTGAAATTTTTGTGAAATTGGCAAAATTGCTAAATTCTGACCACTGTACTGGATAGTTGAATTTCAAATGGGTGGTTTCTTGCACCCATTCGATAGAAAAAATGGAGTTCTAGCGAAATAAATTCCATGTTTTTTGTCGACTAGTAAGCGAAATTGGCCGAAAATGGGGCTCAAAGTGGGCAAAATCGCCGATGCGTAAACATCGCCGAGACCGCTAACTTTGCGAGAGCATAATTCCGTAAGTTTTCTATCAAATTTCAAACTTTTGGTGTCTTTATGATCGGGAAAAGATTCTCTATCTTTTCATAAGAGAAAATAATTTTTTTTTTTTTAAATTTGGCCGACCCTGAGAACGAGTTTCGGAGAGGGCCTGTCGACCCTCAAAGGGTTAAGTGGCTTTTGAGGAGAGTCTTAAATTGATTTTCAGACCAGGTTACTTTATTATCTTCTGGTAATGAATTTCATATTTTGGGGCTCTTTATGTGCATAGTTTTTACACAGTGTGATATGGACACGAGATACATCAAAAAGAGATCTGTGTCTTGTGTTATGGTCATACATAATGACGTATTTTATTCACTCTAGAGTATATGTCATGTTTCTATGTTATTATTGTTTATTATGTCATTAGATGAATTGTGATAGATAAATAAGCCATAGAGTTGATATTAGTGTCATATTGAAGGACTGTCTTGTCCTCTCTCCAAACAAACTCTGCCGCCGCCACAATTCCTAACATACGTAATGACATATTTTAAATATGATTGGGCGGCTAGGTATTCATGAATGTTTGAAGCCTGTGAAAGTGGAACTCGCGAATGTTGAGGGAGACCTGTATGTAAATTTTCATCCCATTTATTGGAAAAAATGCACATGAATAAATTAAACAACACAACCAGGTGAATTTTAAGTGCATACTGTATAACTGGAACATATTAATGATACATGTATCTCTTAAATTCTAAACACAACTTTTAATATCTTAATTACAATCTGTTGCAAATCAAAGAAGACTTTCCACAAAATTTTTCATGTTGCAATAGTTGTGATGAAACTTGTAAAATGTGTAGAAAATGTGGGCATGACAATTAT